AAGGTTGGGATATGGCAAGCATCTCTGTCACTCCAACACTGGCCTTTCTGACCAAGTCAACCATTTGGCACTCCCCACTGCCCCCCAATGCCCATGGAGGTGGGATTGTGCTGTATTTGGCCTCAACTCTGGCCTAGGCTCTGTACTCCCTCTTTCAATGTCTGCCCCATTTCTGAGAAGACAAGAGGCTTCTTGGTCTGGCTCAGTGTCTTCAACAGAGAACACTCCCCAGTCCAGCAAGAAGAAACCTTGTGGGGATGTCTTTCATGTTTATTTGCCCTCCAGACCTGCTTCTGGATGATTGGGTAAGGGTGATGATCTTATTCTTGAGGGCCATCTGGCTCCTCTGCTTCTGGGGAAAGTGCGTTTGACCACTAAATCTTTTGGCTGCCATGGATGCCAGGGAGTAAGCCAAAGTGATTGGGTTTTGCTGGGTGCAAAGGAGGTTGTCTCAGGGGTACCTGCCAGGTGGTAGGTTGGGGATGCTACCCCTTGGGGCTTATGGGATCTCTCTGTGCCCCAGCGAGGCCCTTTCCACCTCTCTATTGTAATCCCATGCCCACTTACACAGGTGGGATCCAAAATCGCTTCCAAGGTAGAGTCTGGAGAGCCCATCAGGAACCCTGAATCTTTTCTTCTGCTGGGAGCAGAAGCAAAATACTGCTCACTCGTGGAGGCCCTGAGGACACAATTCTTATGGGTTTGAACCTGACTTGGTCTTCCCTATGCCCCTTTCCCAGGCCTCCCACAGCCCACTGCTTTTGCTGAGGCTTTCTCCACTGCCACCTGTGCCACAGACATTTCTTAAAGTGCCCCAGCCTGAGTTCCAGGAAACAGGCGTGAGTCTAGTTGGCCTCTGCAGTGCACGTGGGTGAGGCAAGAGCCACTGGTCGGGTCATAGTGATGCTCACCATTTCCCCGGTGATGGGTTCCTGAGGCATCACAAAGGAACAGCCCTCTGTGGCAGTGTTTCATGAATGGGACTCATGCCCCTCCTCACCAGGACATCCACAGCACAGTCTCCGGAAGCCAGGATTCACCAAAGGTGTGCAAGGAAGAAGGAATCTCAGGCAGAGGGAGTGCCGGGAAAGCAGCATGGAATCCCAGTCTCAGGTTTGCGCCAACAGGGTACAGGTGAGTCTCCCCAAATGTTGTGCCCTGGTCATCTCCAGGACACCTCTGCCCGTAAGCTGCTCTCTCACCTGAGGGTCCTAGTGGTGGACAACAGAACCCTGCAGCTTCAGGGGCTGCTGGGGTATGAGTGATATATTGGCACTGCTGTGTGTCTGTGTGTGTGGAAGGGTTGATGTTTGTGTGTGTGCACCTGTATGTCTCTCTCTGACTTCCCTCTTTCTTATTTCCTGCTCCCTCTCTTTCTTCCTCTCTGTATCCGTGTGTGTGTGTGTGTGTGTGTGTGTGTGTGTGTATTTGAATGCATGTGCCCTGTGTGCCATAGGTTTCTTGTAGGACATCCTCTCTTTTGCTGAGTCTCTCCCCACATCTCTGGATGGGTCATACGAGCAGTCATCACTCATTTCCCCGGTAGTTCCATCTGGCATTTTTGAAGGCCTTGGCAACGTGGTGAGGAAGCTACATTGGACTAGCATGGGTTTCAGTCGCCTCCTAATCCTCAGTGTCCTCATTCTTAGGACCAAGGCTACTTACACTCCCAGCCATGGACAAAAGCCTCAACAGAGCTCACTGTCCACTTGCAGGAAGGCTGCCCACTGACCTCAAAGAAGATGGCTCTCATTTCTCTTGCCTTTGCCCTCATCGAGAAATATAACCACAGATTGACACAGGGCTAGAAGAGGGCACCAAGAAAGGAGTGTGGCAAGCATCTCTGTCCCTCCATGGCTGCTTTTTCTGGCCTAGTTATCCATTTGGGACCACCCCCATGCCCATTTAGGTGGCAGTGTACTGTATTTGGCCTGGACTCTGGCCTAGGCTCTGTCCTCACTCTTTTTCTGTCTGTCCCATTTCTGAGAAGCCTAGAGTCTTTTTGGTTTGGCTTGGTGTCTTCCACAGAGAACACTCCCCAGTCCAGCAGGGGGAAACCTCGTGGGGATGTGTTTTGTGTCTGTTTCCCCATCCAAAGCTGTTTCTGGATGATTGGGCAGATGCAATGACCGTGGAGCTCTGGGCTTCCATCTGCGTGTGGGACAGGGACACTCTCTCGATCTCCATGTCCCACTGGATGTCTGCCTAGCTTGCCGTTGCCCTGTCAACAAGGCAGTGTTGCAATTCACCTGCCCTACCTCTCTCATTCATGAGGGCCATCTGGCTCCTCTGCTCCTGGGAACAGTGGCTTCAAGCACTGAATCTTTTGACTGTCATGGATGCCAGGGAGTGGGCCAAAGGGATTGGGAATTGCTTGGTGCAGAGGAGGTTGCATTTGGGGTACCTGCCAGGTGGTGGGGTGGGGACACTACGCCTTGGGGCCCATGGGATCTCTTGGAGTCATAATGAGGTCCTTCCCACATCTCTTCATTGTAATCACATTCCCACTTACCCAGGTGGGATCCAAAATGGCATCGAAGGAGGAGCCTGTAGAGCTCACTGGGAGTCCTGAATTTTCTCTTCTGCTGGGAGCTGAGGCGGAAGACTGCTCACTCATGGAGGCCCTGATGATATGAGTCCTATCTATTTGAACCTGGCTAGGTATCCCGCACACCCCTCTTCCAGGCTTTGCCAATCTCGCTGCTTTCCCCTCCGCTTTCACTGCCACCACCTTTCCCACAATCAATTCTTAAAGGGGTCATAGACTGACTTCCCAGAGCCAGGTACAAGTCGAATAAACCTTGCCAGTGCACATGCTCAAGACACAGGCTGTTCCTCAGGTCATAGTGTTGTTCAACATTGCCCCAGTGATGGGTTCATGAGAGATCACAAAGGAGGAGACCCCATGATAGTATGTCAGGAATGGGGCTCAGGCTTCTCCTCACCAGGATGTCTACAGTACATTTTCCAGAGGCCAGGATTCACTGAATGTGGGCCAGGAGGAAGAAACCTCAGGTGGAGGGTGGGCCGAGGAGGCAGCACAGAATCCCAGCAGGCCTGTGCTGACCCGGTATAAGTGAGTCTCCCCAAATGTCATGCCCTGGTCATCTCCAGGACATTTCTGCCTGTGTTCCTGAGGGCTACTCTCTCACTTGATGGTCCTAGTGGTGGACAACAGAACCCTGCAGCTTCAGGTGCTGCTGAGGGTTGAGTGATATTCTGCCACTGCAGTGTGTCTGTGTGTGTGGAAGAGGTGTTGTTTGTGTTTGCACACCTTTATGTCTTTCTCTGATTTCTCTCTCTCCTTTCCGGCTTCCTTTCTTTTTCACTCTCTGCGTCTGTGTGGATGGATGTGTGTGCCTGAGTGTATATGTTGGGATGAATGTGCCCTGTGCACCAGAGTGCTGTTTCTTGTACTACAGCCTCTCGTTTGCTGAGCCTCTCCCTGCATCTCTGCTGGGTCACATGGCTGGTCATGTCGTTTACTTGCCAGTTCCAGATATCATTTGTGATGGCCTGGACATCGTGGGGAGGGAACTGTGTCGGACAAGCGTGAGTTTACTCAACTCTTCATTCTAAGTGGCCTCTTTCTTAGGACCAAGAAGATCACACCCCCAGCCATGGACAAATGTCTCACCAAAGCTCACTGTTCACTAGCAGGAGAAGTGAGAAGTGAACAATCAAAGAATATGGTGCTCACGAGAAATCTAGCCACAGCTCGACACAGGGCCTTATCAGGGCACCAAGAACAGGATGTGTCAAGCATCTTTGTCAATCCAATGCAGGCCATCTCAAAATTTGGCACTCCCCCTACCTGATGTCTGCAGTGTTGGCAGTGTGCTGCATTTAGCCTGGACTCTGGCCTAGGCTCTGTCTTCCCTTTTTCTCTGTCTGCCCCATTTCTGAGACGTCTACAGTCTTTTTGGTCTAGCACAGTGTCTTCAACAGAAAACACTCTCCAGTCCAGCAGAGGGAAACCTTGTGGGGATGCGTTTCAAGTCCGTTTCCCCCTCCAAAGATGTTTCTGGATATTTGGACGGGTGAGATGGTAGTGGAGCTCTGAGCTTCCAAACCATGTGGGACACAGGCATTCTCTCTGTCCCCATGTCCTTCTGGATGGCTGCCTGGCTGGCCTTTGCCCTCTCCAAAAGGCACTGTTGCAACTCACCTGCCTTTCCTCTCTCATTCTTGAGGGCCATCCGGCTTTTTTGCTCCTGGGGAAAGTGCCTTCATGCACTGAATCTTTTGGCTGACACGAATGCCAGGTAGTGGGTCAAAGGTGCAGGCGAGGTTGTGTCCTGCTGAGTGGAGACACCACATCATGTGGCCCATGGGATCTCTCTGTGTCGAGCCAAGCCTTTCCTGCCTGTTTCCATCACAATCCCACTCCTGCTTACTCAGGTTGGATCCAGCAGAGGATCCAGTGCAGAGTCCAGAGAGCCCATGGGGTGCCTTGAATTTCCTACTCTTCTGGGAGCTGAAGCAGAAGACTGCTCTCTCATGGAGGCCCCGAGGGCATGAGTCCTATGGATTTGATTCTCCCTTGCTCTCCCATATGCCTCTTTCCCAGGACACTTGAAACTCATCACTTTCACCACCACTGTGTCCACCAAAACCTTTGTATCATCTATATCTTTTTTTTTTGAGACGGAGTTTCGCTCGTTACCCAGGCTGGAGTGCAGTGGCGCAATCTCGGCTCATCGCAACCTCCGCCTCCTGGGTTCAGGCAATTCTCCTGCCTCAGCCTCCTGAGAAGCTGGGATTACAGGCATGTGCCACCATGCCCAGCTAATTTTTTGCATTTTCAGTGGAGACGGGGTTTCACCATGTTGACCAGGTTGGTCTCGATCTCTCGTGATCCACCCGCCTCGGCCTCCCAAAGTGCTGGGGTTACAGGCTTGAGCCACCGTGCCCGGCCTCATCTATATCTTAAAGGGGCTGCAGCCTGACTTCCCAGAGGAGTTTGAGTCAACTTGTCTCACCAGTGTGCAAGCCTGAGGCATGAGTCACTGTTCAGGTCATACTGATGTTCGCTGTTGCCCCGGTGATAGGTTCCTGAGACATCACAATGGAGAATCTCCTGTGGCAGTGTGTCAGGAATGGGGCTCAGGCCCCTCCCTGCCATTATGTCCATAGGATAGTCTCTAGAGGCCAGGATTCGCTGAAGTGAGACGAGGAGGAAGGGTCTTCAGGTGGAGGGAACTCCAAGAAAGCAGCACGGAATCCCTGTCTCAGGCCTGCACTAACCGGGTACAGGTGAGTCTCCCTAAATGTTGTGTCCTGGTCATCGCCAGGACATTTCTGTCTGTGGGCCCATGGGTTGCTCTCTCATTCAAGGGTCCTAGTGGGGGACAACAGAAACCTGCAACTTCATGGGCTGCCCTGGTGTGAGTCATACTATGCCACTGCTGTGTGTCTGTGTGTGGAGTGGTGTTGGTGCGTGTGCGCCTTACGTCTCTTTCTAATTTCTCTCTCTTCTTTCCTGCTCCCTCTCTTTCTCACTCTCTGCATCTCTGTATGTGCATGTGTTTGTGTGTGTGTGTGTGTGTGTGTGTGTTGGTACATGTGTGCCCTGTGAGCCTGAGGGCAGTTTCTTCAATGACGGCCTCTGTTTTACTGAGCCTCTTCCCTCATCTCTGCCTGGGTCATGTGGCCCATTGTCAGTCATTTCCCAGGTGGTTCCAGCTGCCCTTTGTGAGTGAAGTCCTGGGGAACATGGGGAGGGAGCTGCATCAGACCAGCATGGGTTTCAGTCACCTACCCATCCTGAGCTGCCTCTTTCTTAGGACCAAGATGAACACACACCCCAGCCATGGACAAATACCTCACCACAGCTCATTGTCCACTTGCAGAAGGCTGCACACTGACCTCAAAGAACATGGTTCTCACTTTTCTTGCCTTTGCTCATTGAGAAATCTAGCCACAGCTCAACACAGGGCTGGTTCAGGACTCCAAGAACAGGATGTGGCAAGCATCTCTCTCATTGCAACATTGGCCTTCCTGGCCAAGACAACCACTTCACACTCTCACCCCCCAGATGCCTGTGGAGGTGGCGTTGTGCTGTATTTGGCCTGGACTCTGACATAGGCTCTGTCCTCCCTCTTTTTCTGTCTGCCCTGTTTCTGAGAAGCCTAGATACTTCTTGGTCTGGCTTAGTGTCTTCAACAGAGAACACTCCCCAGTACAGCAAGGGGAAACCTTATGGGGATCTGTTTCATGTTCCTTTCCCCCTCCAAAGCTGTTTATGGAAAATTGGGCAGGTGCAATGATTGTGGAGATCTGGGCTTCCACCCCCATGTAGGATAGGGATGCTCTCTCAGTCTCCATGTCCCACTGGATGGCTGCCAGGCTGGCCTTTGCCCTCTCCACAAGGCAGTGTTGCAATTTTCCTGCCACATCTCTCTCATTCTTGAGGGCCATCTGGCTCCTCTGCTCCTGGGGAAAATGCCTTCAAGCAGTGAATTTTTGGCTGCCACCAATGCCAGGGAGTGGGCCAAAGGAATTGTGTTCACTGGATCAGGGAAGGTTGTGTCTGGGGAATCTGACAGGGGACTGGGTGGAGACACTATGTTTTGGAGCCCTTAGGATCTCTCTGTGCTCAGGTCAGGCCCTCCCTGCCTCTCTCCATTGTAATCCCATTTCCGCTTACCCAAGTGGGATCCACCACTAGGATGCTAGGGTCGGAGAGCAGCCCACAGCAGTCAGGCAGAGGTGTCCTGGAGATTAAAGAAGCACGACATTTCGGGAGACTTCCCTGTACCCAATTGGCACAGGTCTGAGATGGGGATTCCGAGCTGCTTCCCTGGTGCTACCTCTCCCTGAGGTTTCTTCCTCCTGGCCCACCTTCAGTGAATCCTGGCCTCCTGAGATTATTCTGTGCATGTCCTGTCAAGGAGGGGCCTGAGTTCTGTTCTTGACATACTGCCAAAGGGGACTACTCCTTTGTGACTTCTCAGGAACCCATCACTGGGGCAATGGTGAACCTCATTTGACCAGATGAGTGGCTCGTGCCTCACACTTGGGCACTGGCAAGGTGACTTGATTTGCACTTGGCTCTGGGAAGTCAAGCTGTGGCCCCACTAAGAAATGGCTGTGGCAGAGGTGGTGATGGATAAAACAGCAGTGAATGCTGTGGGTTTGGGGTGGCCTGGGAAAAGGGCATGTGTGAGACCAAGCCAGGGCCAAACCCATAGGATTCTTGTCCTCATGGCCTCCACAAGCGAGCAGTCTTCTGCTTCAGCTCCCAGTGGAAAAGAAGAGTCAGGGCACCCAATAAGCTCTCCAGACTCCACCTCAGATTCCATGTTGGATCCCATCTGGGTATTTGGGAATTGGCTTAAAATGGAGAGAGGAGAGAAGGGCCTTGCTCGGGCACAGAGAGATCCCATGGCCCCCAAGGCATGTTGTTCCCTCCCAGCCACCTGTCTGGTTCCATGGACACAAATTCCCCTGCACCCAGTGAACCCAATCCCTTTGGCCAGCTCCTTACCATCCATGGTAGCCAAAAGATTCAGTGCTTGAAGGCACTTTCCCCAGGAGCAGAGGAGGTGGGTGGCACTGAAGAATGAGAGAGGAAGTGCAGGTGAATTGCAGTGCCACCTTGTGGAGAGGGCAAAGGCCAGCCTGGCAGCTATCCAGTGGGACATGGAGACCAAAAGATCGTCCCTGTCTCACACAAGGATCGAAGCCCAGAGCTCCATGATTATTGCACCTGCCCAATCATCTAGAAACAGGTTTGGAGGGGAAAAAGAACATAAAACAAATCCCCATGAAGTTTCCCCTTGCTAGACTGGGGAGTGTTCTCTGTTGAAGACACTGAGCCAGACAAAGAAGACTCTAGGCTTCTCAGAAGCGAGGCATACAGAGAAAGAGGGAGGATAGAGCCTAGGGCAGAGTCCAGGCCAAATACAACACAATGACACCTCCATAGGCATCGGGTGGCTGGATGGAGTGCCAAACGGTTGACTTGGACAGAGGCCAGCATTGGCATGAGAGAGATGCTTGCCACATCCTGTTCTTCGTGCCCTGTTCAGTCCCTGTGTTGAGCTGTGGCTAGATTTCTCATTGAGGGCACAGGAGAGAAAAGTGAGAACCATCTTCTTTCAGATTGGTTGGCAGCCCTCCTACAAGTGGACAGTGAGCTGTGGTGAGGCTGTTGTCCATGGCTGGGGGTGTGGTCAACTTGGTCCTAAGAAAGAGGCTGCTCCAGATAGGGAGGTGACTAAAACCCATGCTGGTCCTACAAAGCTCCCTCCCCATGTTTCCCAGGCTTTCACAAATGACAGCTGGAACCACCAGGGCAAGGACTGATGTCAGGCCACAAGACCCAGGCAGAGACATGAAAAGAGACTCAGCAAAAGTGAGGCCATCATGCAAGAAACCACCTCCGGAGCACAGGGCACATGCATCCCAAAACACACATATACACACACAAACACATGCAAACACACAGACGGAGACAGTGAGAAAGAGAGGGAGTGGGAAAAAAGAAAGAGAAATCAGAGAAAGACATTCAGGTGCAAACACACAAACAGCACCCTTTCCACACACACAGAAACACAGAAGTGGCAGAGTATCACTCACACTCAGGCAGCCTCTGAAGCGGCAGGGTTTTCTTGTCCACCACCAGGACCCTCGGGTGAGAGAGCAGTCCATGGGAACAGAGGCAGAAGTGTCCTGGAGATGACCAGGGCATGACATTTGGGGAGATTCACCTTTACCTTGTTGGTGTAGGCCTGAGATTGGGATTCTGAGCTGCTTCTCTGGCACTCCCTCCATTTGAGGTTTCTCCCTCCTGGCCCACCTTCTACAAATCCTGTCCTCCAGATACTTTCCTGTGGACGTCCTGGTGAGGAAGGGCCTGAGCCCCTTTCCTGACACACTGCCACAGTGGACTCTTCCTTTGTGAAGTCTCAGGAACCCATCTAAGGGACAACGGTGAATGTCACTATGTCCCGAGGAGCATCTCATGCCTTGTGAATGCACACATGCGTGGCCAAGTTGACTCGTGCCTGGCTTTAAGAAGTCAGTCTGCAGCCCCTTTAAGAAATGGCTGCAGAGAAGGTGGCGGCAGAGAAAGCAGCAGCGAAAGCGATGGGTTTGGGGAGGTCTTGGAAGGGGCAGGTGCGAGACCAAGCCAGGGTGAAACCCATATTACTCGTGTCCTCAGGGCCTCCACAAGCGAGCGGTCTTCTGTTTTAGCTGCCAGAAGAGGAGACTCAGGACTCCCCATGGGCCCTCCAGACTATGAATCCCATTTTACATCCAATCTGGGTAAGCAGGAATGGGTTTGCAATGGAGAGAGGTGGGAAGGACCTCCTAGGGAATAGAGAGGTTCCATGGGCCCCAAGGTATGATGTCTCCACCCCACCACCCAGCAGGTACTCCAGACAAAACCTCACCTGCACCCAGTGAAGTCGAATTTCTTTGGCTCACTCTCTGGCATCTGTGACAGCCAAAACTTTCAGTGCTTTAAGTCTCTTTCCCCAGGAGCCAAGATTCTGGATGGCCCTCAAGAATGAGAGAAGACGAGCAGGTGAATTCCAACAACGCCTTTTGGAGGGGTCAAAGGCTGGCCAGAAAGCCATCCAGTGGAACATGGAGACCAAGAGAGGAAACTGACATGAAACACATCCCCATGAGTCCCTGCTGGACTGGGGAGTGTTCTCTGTTGAACACACTGAGCCAGACTAAGAAGTCTCTAGGCTTCTCAGAAATGGGACAGACAGAGAAAGAGGGAGGCCAGAGGCCAGGCCAAATACAGCACAATGCCACCTCTATGGGCATCTGGCCAGAGTGGGGGAATGCCAAATGGTTGAGTTGGCCAGAAAGGCCAGCGGTCAAGAGGCAGGGATGCTTCCCACATCCCATTCTTTCTGCCCAGTTCTGGACCTGTGTCAAAGTGTGGCTAGATTTCTCAGTGAGGGTAAAGATGAGAGAAGTGAGTAATGTCTTCTTTGAGGTCAGAGGGCAGCCCACCTGCAGGTGGACAGTAAGCGGTGGTGAAACTTTTGTCCATGGCTTGGGGGAGTTATCATCTAGGTCCTAGGAAAGAGGCCCTTCAGGACGGTGTAGTGACTGAAAACCATGCTGGTCCGACACAGCTTTCTCCCCACATTTCATAGGCCTCACAAATTCCAGCTGGAACTGCCAGGGAAATGACTGACAACCAGCCATGAGACCCAGCAGGGACATAGTGAGAGGCTCAGCAAAAGCGAGTCTTTGATGCATGAAACCACCCTCCAGCACACGGGGCACAAAACGTCCACACACACACACACACACACACACACGCACATGCACACATATGCACACACACAGACGCAGACAGAGAAAGAGAGGAGTGGGAAACGAGAGAGAAAACAGAGAGAGACGTACAGGCACACACACACACACACACAAATAACACACCTTCCACACACACAGACAAACAGCAGTGGCAGAGTATCACTCACACCCCAGCATCCCCTGAAGCTGCAGAGTTCTGTTGTCTACCATTTGGACCCTGTGAGCCCACAGGCACACAGACAGAGATGTCCTGGAGATGACCAGGGCATGACATCTGGGGAACACACCTGTACCCCATCGTCACAGGCCTGAGATGAATTCTGCGATGCTTCCCCTGCACTCCCTACACCTGAAATCTCTTCCTTCTGGCCCACCTTCAGCATATCCTGGACTCCAGAAACTATCCTGTGGAGGTCCTGGTGAGGAGGAACCTAAGCCCCATTCCTGAACACACTGCCAGAGGGGGCTCTGCCTTTCTTATGTCTCAGGAACACCATCACCAAAGAAATGGTGAACTTCACTATAAACCCAGGAGTGGCTTGTGTCTCGTGCATGTGCACTGGTGAGGCCAACTCAAATTGCACCTGGCTCTGGGAAGTCAGGGTGCATCTCCTTTAAAGAATGGCTGCGGCAGAGGAGGTGGTGGAGAGAGTGGCAGTGAAAGTGGCGGGTTTGGGGAGGCAGGAATAAGGGGCATGCATGAGATGAAGCCAGGGTCAAACCCATAGGACTTGAGTCCTCCTGGCCTCCACGAATGAGCAGTCTTCTGCTTTGAATCTTGGGGGAAGGGGAGTCAGGGCACTCGATGGGCACTCTGGACTCTGTCTCAGATTCCATATTGGATCCCACCTGGGTAAGCAGAAATGGGATTTCAATGGAGAGGAGTGGGAAGAGCCTCACTCAGGCACAAAGAGATCCCAAGGTCCCCAAAGTGTTTTGTCCCCACCTCACCTCACAGCAGGTACCCTGGACACAACCTCCCTAGCACCCAGCAAAACCTAATTCCTTTGTCCAGCTTCCTGGCGTTTGTGACAGTCAAAAGGGTCAGTGCTTGAAGCCACTTTCCCAAGGAGCAGAGGAGTGGGATGGTCCTAAAGAATAAGAGAGGAAGGCCAGGTAAATTGCAACACTACCTTGTGAGGACAGCAAAGGCCAGTCAGGCAGACAACCAGTGGGAGATGGAGACCAAGAGAGCATCCCTGTCCTACCAGGGTTGCAATTCTCCTGCGCATCCTCTCTCACTATTGAGGGACATCTGGCTCCTCTGCTCATGGGGAAATGTCTTCGAGCACTGAATTTTTCAGTGACATGGATGCCAGGGAGCAGTCCAAAGGGATTGGGTTTTGCTGGACGAAGGGGAGGTTTTGTCTGGGGAACCTGCTGTCTGGCAGGGTGGAGACACCATGCCTTGGGGCCCATGGGATCTCTTTGTGACCCAGCAAGGCACTACACGCCTCTCTCCATTGTAATCCCAATAGGACACTCAGGTCAGAGAGCAGCCCATGGGCACTGAGGCAGAGGTGTCCTGAAGATGACAAGGGCACAACATTTGGGGAGACTCGCCTATACCCTGTCAGCACAGGCCTGAGACTGGGACTCCACGCTGTTTCCCCAGTGCTCACTCCACCTGAGGTTTCTTCCTCTTGGCTCACCTTTAGCAAATACTGGCCTCCTGAGACCATCCTATCGATGTTCTTGCAAGGAGGGGCATCAGCCCTGTTCCTGACACTCTGCCATAGGGATATCCTGATTTGTGACTTCTCAGGAACCCATCACAGGGGCAATGATGAACCTCACTATGACCCAGGGAGAGGCTTGTGCCTCGTGCACGCTAACTGGTGAGACTGACTTGACTCTCACCTGGCTCTGGGAAGTCATGCTGCAGCCCCTTTAATAATTGGCTGAGGAGGAGGTGGCAGTGGAGAAATTGGTGGCAAAAGCGGCGGGCTTGGGGAGGCCTGGGAAACAGACGTGTGTGAGACCAGGCCAGGGCCAAACCCACAGGACTCATGTCCTCAGGGCCTCTACAAGTGAGCTGTCTTCTGTTTTGGCTCCTGGCAGGAGAGGAGATTCAGGACTTCCTATGGGCTCTCTGGACTCTGCCTTGGATCCCATTTTAGATCCCACCAGAGTATGTGGGAATTGGATTAAAATGGAGAGAAGCCAGAATAACTTCACTGGGGCACAGATAGATCCCATGGGCCCCAAGGCATGGTGTCCACACCCCACCACTCATCAGGTACCCCAGATGCAATCTCCTCTGCACCCAGCAAAACCCAATCCGTTTGGCTAGCTCCCCCGCAGCCAAAAGATTCAGTGCTTGAAGGCACATTTCCCAGGAGCAGAGGAGACAGAGGGTCCTCAAGAATGAGAGGAAGGGCAGGTGAATTGCACCACTGCCTGTTGGATAGGGCAAAGGCCCACCAGGTAGCCATCTAGTGGGACATGGAGGGGAAGGGAACATAAAACACATCCACATGAAGTTTTCCCCTGCTGGACTGGAAAGTGTTCTCTGTTGAAGACACTGAGCCAGACCAAGAAGCCTCTAGGCTTCTCAGAAATGGGTTAGACAGAGAAAGAGGGAGGACAGAGCACAGGCAAGAGTCCAGACCAATAGAGCAACCTGTAACCTCCACGGGCATCGGGTGGCTGGTGGGAGTGCCAGACGTTGTCTTGGACAGAAAGGCCAGTGTTGGAGTGACAGAGATGCTTGCCACATCCCGTTCTTGTCCTGTGGTCCCTGCCCTGTGTTGAGTTGAGGCTAGATTTCTCAATGAGGGCAAAGGTGAGAGAAGTGAGAACCACCTTCCTTGAGGTCAGTGGGCAGCCCTCCTGCAGGTGGACAGTGAGCTGTGGTGAGGATTTTGTCCACTGCTTGGAGGTGTGGTAGACTTGGTCATAAGAAAGAGGACACACAGGATAGGGAGGTGACTGAAACCCATGATGGCCTGAAGCAGCTCTCTCCCCACATTGCCAGGCTTCACGAACGCCAGATGGAACCACTGGAGAAAGAGTGATGACTGGACAGGCAGTGGGTTTGTGGAGGCCTGGAGAAAAGGCATGCATGAGACAGTCAGGTTCAAACCCATAGGACTCATGTCCTCAGGGCCTCCACAAGCTATCAGTCTTCTGCTTCAACTCCTCATGGAAGAGGCGATTAAAGGTGCCAAATGGGCTTTCCAGATTCCACCTCGGATCATATGTTGGACCCCACCTAGGTAAGTGGGAATGAAATTACAATGGAGGAAGGAGGAAAGTGCCTCGCTGGGGCACAGGTAGATCTCATGGGCCCCAAGGCATGATGTCCCCACCCTGCCACCCATCAGGTATACCAGACACAACGTCTTCTGCACCCAGCAAAACCCAATCCCTTTGGCCAGCTCCCTGGAATCCATGGCAGCCAAAAGATTCAGTGCTTGAATGTACTTACTCAGGATCAGAGGAGCCGGTTGACCCTCAAGAATCAGAGAGCAAGGGCAGGTGAATTGCAACATCGCCTTGTGCAGAGAATAATAGCCAGCCAGGCAGACATCCAGTGGGACACAGAGAACAAGAGAGCTTCCCTGTCCTACATGGGGATGGAAGCCCAGAGCTCCAGGATCATTGCACCTGCCCAGTCATCCAGAAACAGCTTTGGATGGAGAAAGGGACATGAAATGCATCCCCATGAAGTTTCCTCCTGCTGGACTGGGGTGAGTTCTCTGTTGAAGGCACCGAGTGAGACCAAGAATAGTCTCAGCTTCTCAGACAGAGAACATGAGAGGACAGAGCCTAAGCCAGAGTCCAGTCAAAATACAGCACAATGCCACCTCCAAGGGCATCCATGATGAGGGGAGTGCCAAATGGTTGACTTGGCTAGAAAGGCCAGTGTTACAGTGACAGAAATGCTTACCACATCCCGTTCTTGGCACCCTGTTCTGGCCCTGTGTTGAGCTGTTACTAGATTTCTCAATGAGTGAAAAGTCAAGAGAAGTGAGAACCATTTCCTTTGAAGTAGATGGCAGCCCTCCTGTAGGAGGACAGTGAGCTGTGGTGAGGCCTTTGTCCATAGCTGGGGGTTGTGGTCATCTTGGCCCTAATAAAGAGGCCGCTTAGGTTGGGGAGGTAACTGAAACCCATGCTGGTCTGAGGCAACTCCCTCTCCACATTGCCCAGGCCTTCACAAATGCCAGGTGAAACCGCCCGGGAAATGACTGACAATCGACAACCCAACTCAGACAGAGACATGGGAAGAGACTCAGCAAAAGAGAGGCTGTCATTGAAGAAACCGCCCTCTGGTGCACAGGACACATGGGTCCCAACACACATGCATGCGTGCACATGCACACACACCCATGCTCACACACAGACACATAGAGTGAGAGAGAGGGATCAGGAAAGAAGAGAGAGACAAATCAGAGGGAGACATACAGGCACACACACAAACAACACCCCTTCCACATACACAGACACACAGCAATGGCAGAGTATAACTCACCCCCAGGGAGTGCTGAAGCTGCAGTGTTTTGTTTTGCACCACTAGGACCATCAGGTGAGAGAGCAGGCCACAGGCACACGGAGAGGTGTCCTGGAAATGACCAGGGCATGACATTTGTGAGACTCACCTGTATCTTTTTCCCTCAGGCCTGAGACTGGAATTCCAAGCTGCTTCCCGGGCTCTTTCTCTGCCCGAGGTTTCTTCTTCTTGGCCCACCTTAGGCAAATCCTGGCCTCTGGAGACAACAGAACTGCAGATCCAGGAGCTGCCTGGGAGTGAGTTATAAATTGCCACTGCTGTGTGTCTGTGTGTGTATGGAAGTGGTATCGTTGTGTGTGTGCACTTTTATGTCTCTCGGTGATTTCTCTCTCGCTCCTTTCCCACTCTCTCTTTCTCACTCTCTGCAACTGTGTACATGTGTGTGCCTGTGTGTGTTGGTACAGGTGTTCCCTGTGTGATGGAGGACATTTTCTTGCATGACGGCCTCTCTTTTGCTGAGCCTCTCCCCTCGTCTCTGCCTGGGTCATGTGACTGGCCATCAGTGGTTTGCTCTTTGGTTCCAGCTGGCGTCTGTGAAGTCCTGGGCAACATGGAGAGGGAGCTGCATGGGACCAGCATGGGTTTCAGTCACCTCCCAATCCTAAGTGGCCTCTTTTTTAGGACCAAGATGACCATACCCCCAGCCATGGACAAAATCCTCAACATAGCTCACTGTCCACTTGCAGGAGGTCTGACCAGCAACCCTAAAGAAGGCTCTTCATTTCATAGTGAAGATGGCTCTCACTACTCTTGCCTTTGCACACCTTGAGAAATCTAGCCACAGCTGGACACAACAGGACACCAAGAATGGGATGTGGCAAGCATCTCTCTCACTCTAACAGTGGCCTTTCTGAAACAGTTTGGCACTCCTTCCCCCTTCCACAATGCTGTGAAGGTGGCATTATGATGTATTTGGCCTGGACTCTGGCTTATGCTCTGTCCTGTCTCTTTCTCCATCTACCCTCTTTCTGAAAAGCTTGGAGGTTTCTTAGGCTGTCTCAGTGTCTTCAAGAAAGAACACTCCCCAGTCCAGCAGGGGGAAATGCCTTGGGAATGCGTTTCATCTCCGTTTCCCCCTCTAAACCTGTTTCTGGATGATTGGGCAAGTTCAATGGTCATGGATCTCTGGGTTTCCTTACCCATGTGAAACAGGGATGCTCTCTCAGTCTCCATGTCCCCCTGGCTGGCTGCCTGGCTTGCACTGGCCCTCACCACATGTCAGCGTTGCAATTCACCTGCCCTTCCTCTTTCATTCTTGATGGCTATCTGGCTCGTCTGCCCCTGGGGAAAGTGCCTTCAAGTACTGAATATTTTGGCTGTCACGGATGCCAGGGAACAGACCAAAGGGATTGGGTTTTGCTGGGTGCAGGGGAGGTTGAGTCTGGAGTACCTGCCAGGTGGCAGTGTGGGGACACTACGTTTTGGGGCCTATGGGATCTCTCTGTGCCAGAGCAAGATTATTCCCACAATTGAATCCGAGGAGGACTCTGAAGAGCCCATCTTATGCCCGGAGGACACAAGTCCTATGGGTTTGAAAGAAGAGATCCAGGGCAACCGATGGTCTCTCTGGTGTTCATCTTGGATCCCATGTTGAATCCCACCTGTGTAAGTGGGAATGGGATTACAATGGCGAGGGGCAGGAAGTGCCTCGCTTGGGCACAGAGAGATCCTATGAGCCTTAAGGTGTGGTGTCACCACCCTGACTCCTGGCAGGTACCCACTACGCAACCTCCCCTGCACTCAGCTTAATCCAATCCCTTTGGCCCACTCCTAGCATCCATGGCAGCCAAAAGATTCAGTGCTTGAAGGCATTTTTCCAAGGAACAGAGGAGATGGATGGCCCTCAAGAATGAGAGAGGAAGGTAGGGTGACCTGCCACAGTGCTGCCTGGTGGAGAGGGCAAAGGCCAGACAGGCAGACATTCAGTGGGACATGGAGACTGAGAGGGAGTCCCTGTCCCACACTGGGATGGAAGCCCAGAGCTCCACGATCATCACACCTGTCCAATCATCCAGAAGCAGCTTTGGAGGAGGAAATAGACATGAAACGCATCCCCATGAAAGTTTCCCCCTATTGGAATGGGGAATGTTCTCTGTTGAAGACACTGAGCCAGATTAAGAAACCTCTAGTCTTCTGAGAAACAAGGCAGACAGTGAAAGAGGGAGGACAGAGCCTAGGCCAGAGTCCAGGCCAAATACAGCAAAATGCCACCTCCCAGGACATCTGGGGTGTGCAGTGCCAAATGGTTACCTTGCCCAGAATGGCTAGTGTTGGTGTGACAGAGATGCTTCCCACATCCCGGCCCCTTTAAGAAATAGCTGTGGTGTAGGTGGCAGCAGAGAAAGCAGCAGATTTGGGGAGGTCGGGGATAGGGGTGTGCAAGGGACCAATCCAGGTTCAAACCAATAGGACTCATGTCCACATGGCCTCCACGGGTGAGCAGTTTTCTGCTTTGGCTCCCAGGGGAAGAGGAGATTCAGGGCTCCTAATAGGCTCTCGGATCTCCACCTTGGATGCCACTGTAGATCCTACCTGGGTAAGCAAGAATGGGATTACAATGGAGAAAGGCAGAAAGGCCCTCACTGGGGCCCAGAGAGACCCCATGGGTCACGAGGCATGCTGTTCCCACCCTGCCACCTGGCAGGTACCCTGTGGCAACCTCCTTTGCACCCAGAAAAACCCAATTGCTTTGGCTCACTTCCTGGCATCCGTGGCAGTCAAAAGATCCAGTGCGTGAAGGCACTTTCCCCAGGAGTAGAGGAGCTGAATGGCCCTCAAGAATGAGAGAGGAAGGGCAGTTAAATTACAGAACTGCCTGTGGAGAGGGCAAAGAACAGCCAGGCAGCCATCCGGTAGGACATGGAGATCAAGAGAGCATTTCTGTACCACACAGGTATGGAAACACAGAGCTCCAGGATCACTGCACCTGCCCAATCATCCAGAAACAGCTTTGGGGGTGGGGTGGGGAATGGACATGAAACGCATTCCCACGAAGTTCCCCCCTGCTGGACTGGTGAGCGTTTTCTGTTGAAGACACTGAGCTAGACCAAGAAGCCTCTAGGCTTCTCAGAAACAGGGTCAACAGAGAAAAAGGGTGGACAGAGTCTAGGCCAAATACAGCACACTGCCACCTCCCTGGGCATCCGAGGGTTGGGGAGTGAGAAATGGTTGAGTTGGCCACAAAGGCCAGGTTTGGAGTGACAGAGATGCTAGCCACATCCCATTCTTGGAGCCCTGTTCTGGCACTGTGCCGAGCTGTGGCTAGCTGTCTCAATGAGGTCCAAGGTGAGAGAAGTGAGAACCATCTTCTTTGAGGTGAGTGGGCAGCTCTCCTGCAGATAGACAATGAGCTGTGGTGAGGCTTTTGTCTCTGACTTGGGGGTGTGGTTGTCTTTTTCATAAGAAAGGCACCACTCAGGATTGGGAGGTGACTGAAACTCATGTTGCTCTGAGGCAGCTCCCTCTGCATGCTGCCCAGGCCTTCAGGAATGCCAGGTGGAACTTCCAGGGAAATGACTGACGATTGCTCATGTGACCCAAGCAGAGAAGTGAGAGGGGCTCAGCAAAAGAGAGGTTGTGGTGCAAGAAATCACTCTCCAGCCCACAGAGCACATGGGTCCCAATACACACACACACACACACACACACACACACACACACACACACGCACACACAGACATACAGAGTGAGAAAGAGATGGAGTGGAAAAGAAGAGAGTGAGAAATCACAGAGACATACAGGTGCACACACACGAATAAGGTCCCTTCCACACACACAGACACACAGCAGTGGCAGAGTATCACTCACCCCAAGGCAGCCCCTGAAGCTGCAGTGTTCTGTTTTCCACCACTAGGACCCTTGGTTGAAAGAGCAGCCCATTGATGCACAGTCAATGTTGTCCTGGAGATGACCAGGGCATGATATTTGAGGAGACTCACCTGTTCCCAATCGGTGCAGGCCTGAGACTGCACTGCTTCCTGGTGTTCCCTTTGCCTGAACTCTCTTTCTCCTGGCCCAGATTTGCTGAATCCTGGTATCCAGAGACTATCCTGTGGATGGCCTGACAAGAAGGGGCCTGAGCCCCATTCCTGACACTGCCACAGGGGGCTTCTCCTGGGTCACATCTCAGGAACCCATCACTGGGGCAACAGTGAACATCACTATGAACAGAGGAGCGGCTCGTGCCTTGTGCATGCACACTGGTGGG